AATTTCCCCCGACAAGGAAAAAGATCCAGCTGGCGATGTTTTCAGTTGACTGTTCATACTCCATGAGCGACAAGACCTTGGAGGACCATGGAAACAAGGAAGAGTTATTGGTTTGAGTAAAGCAGCCACCAGGCTGCAGCCTCAGTTGAAAGCCCACAAGAGCAGGATCAGGCAGTTTGGTCTGCGTGGAGAGGAGCCAGCCTGGGGACAGCATCCAGATTAAAAGGCAACATTAGCTGCAGTGAAGACAAGCCTAAAACTGCTCAGTCTGCCATGGCTTCTGATCTCAAGGAAAACAGGACAAACAACAAGAAGGGCGTCAGCTTCACTGCAGATAGCCTGCAGCTGTCCGACTGCAGCAAGGTTCCTGCCTCCTGCGCATAGCAGTGTTGCCATGTTAAAAGGAACCGCATTTACTTAAGTACCCAAATCTAGACCGGATCAAGAGGGAATTTTGTAGCTGGGCTTCACCAGAGCTTTCCACTCTGGGAAAACAATTTTTCTCCTCTCCAAGCCAGGGTGGTCTTTAGAAACCATGTCAAAGAAGGTGTTTATTGCTGCTGTTATCTTATTACAGAGCCATTCTGTCAGACACCCTCAGCCAAACATGGGACCAAGTAACCACAAACTGTTGCATTTGTCTCTATGTCAGAGACAGAGTAACAGCAACCCCAAATCCAACTTTCTTCTTTTCTGAGAGACATTCAGGCAGTGACCGAAACCACTGTCAAGCAACCAAGTACAAATCAGCTGGAGAAATCACTCCTAGGTTTGCTGCACATCTGCACTGCTTACCGTTTTATTTCAAAGCATGAAAAAGACTTAAGCTTTAAATCCAAAGATGCAGATTCCAATGAGAATGAAAGACAGCCCGAAAGGCTTTACCAAGGAAGAAAGGATGGGAAGAACCAAATTTTACACTGCAAGAAGAGCTGCTGGAGTCTCCAGCTGGGAGGTCTAAGCCCTGAGGGTTGGGTAAGAACAGCCTGGTGGCACTGGGGATACTGGGACAAAACCAAACTGAGGGAACCAGCTAGAAAATCTGAGTATTTCCTGCAATGGAAATCTTTTTGAAAGTGGAAATTTTCTTAAAGGAAGTGGTGGAAACCCAACTGCTTCCATTATCTCAAACCAGATAAAGCCCTTGAGCATAAACAAAAGGGAACATTCCTGTATTGGGTGCCAGTTTACTTTGAAAGGGGGATTTTGATATCTAAAAGTAATTATTTTTTTCCATGTCCAGTTTTCAGGAGCCAGGCAATTTTCTAATTAATTTATTTTTTAAAATTAAAGTCCTGGTAACTGTTACTAGCCCAGCATACCTGCTCATAGGTATCTTTTAGTGTCCTCTCACACAGAAAAACCCCACCACATTTTCTCCACGCAGTAAGACTTACACACTATAATACACAGGCTAGAGGGGCAACAGGCAGGGATAACCATGACTCCCTGACTGTTGAAGAGTATCTAGAAGACAGAAAACTCGGATGACGCAAACGGAGACTGCTGCACGCACGTGAATTCTATCCATTACAGGGATACAGACCTTTGCATCACCTGAAATCCTGGTGCTACAGACACTGGACCTGTCATCCTCATTCAACGAGGTGGATGAACTTGCTCCAGGTAACTTAAGCTGAGGTGGCAGAGCGGGCTCTCAGGTGTAATGCCCCTGCCTCATGGTAGGCAGGATTTTAATGAAGAACAGTGAGATTAAAGCCCCTATCTTTAGTGTTACCCCATGGAAGGTGCATATTGGATCACTTCTTGGCATAAAACCAGAGGCTCAGCCAATTCAGCCCTGTCAGGTACCAGATGGAGAGCAAGGAATTACAGAAACCAAAAGGACAGCCCCAAACGCACCACCCTGGAAAAGCAGCTACCCCCTTTCCTGCGTGCACTCGGCAAGTCCCGTAAAGCACGCTGTGCACAGCCAGTCGTTAGCCTTGCACTCTTCTTTTTGCCCAGGGTCTCACTTGACTAGGACAGGTTTGGAGCAGTGCTGAACACCCACAGCTGCCCCCAGGACCAGCTTAAACATGTAAGTATCATAATAATGCTGAACCTTCTCACAAACCAAGCCTTACATGTTACCAACAGGACAAATACAGAGACTGCAGGAAACTTCTTGGCCATACATCACAGAAAACTGGAGGGCACCCTGAGAAACTCTGTGTTCACACTGTTGTTTATACTCGTCCCCCTGCATCTGCTATCGGCTACTGTGGCAGAGAGGAGACAGACAGATTGACAGCTTCCTGGACAATACTGCTCACTTGACATGGTGAAGGAGGTACCACCCTCCAGACTGCACATTCCTGTGCTATTTAAGACCATCACAACACGTCACGTGAGCAAAGCCCAGTGTCCAGGCCAAGGGAGAAAGAGAAACACTTGCAGTGGACTTAACCATAAGACAACTCTTTCTTGCAGTGCATGGGAAAAAAATTTCAGATGCACAGTTTGGGAAGAAAGCTCTTGTGGGCTGGGAAGGGGAAACAGCTTTTGCTACAGAGGGCTCAACTCCACTTCCCAATTCTCTTCAGCTCTACAGAATAGCTCCTGCCTTTTGGGAACCATCATTTGCCGGGCCAGGCACCCAGCTCAACACCAGCTGAGCAGCCAGCAGACACTGGAACATGCCCCAGTGCACAGGCAAGAAACAACAGGGCTTAATTTACAATCAAGGCTTTGTGACAGCTTTTCCCTGCTGCCCGCCTCCCCCCCACCCCCCCTCCTCAAAGGAAAAACTGTCCCATTCCCTGCCCCAAGCGCCTCACATCCCCTCAGAAAGGCCGGGCCTCCTGTTCACTCACTTCTGGGAGCAGTGGCGGCAGTTGGTGGAGTGGGGCGGAGGTTGTTCAGCAGGTACAAAGTGCTTTTTGTTCCCTCTACAGGGTTGAGCTGCTGCTTCTCCTGCTTCCAACCCTCCTGGGGTCCCTGGGACAAGGGGCAGGGGCAGTTTAGGAATGTGACTGTGTTCAGTTTGTGGCATCTGAGCAGGGCCACAGCTTGCCTCTTTGATCCCTGGCCACGAAAAGCGCATAAAAGATTGAATTAAAGAATGAAGACCTTTACAAACTGGCCTACGAGGACTCTGTCTGTCCCAGGACCTCCTCCCACAGTAGCAGTGCCCTGTATTATCACCACCCCCTATGCTGGTCACTGGCCAGTAGTCCCTTTCATTTAGCTGCCAACACCTCCCTCCCCAATACATCGTGCTCAAAAAGCACCCTGCAAGCATCACTCCAGGGCCCCAACACCAAACGTGCCGCAGGCTCACTGCTGCCTAGCTATACGCAGTCATTATCTCACGCAAAACACTTGATTCCTGCAAGCACAGCCAGAGCACACAATCACATAGAGACAACATCTCCCTAGCTGGGTGCAAAACAGAGCAACATTTATCTCCTCTCCAGTAAATAACCTTCAGGAGAGCAGCGGGCGGCAGCCAGAAGGCCGGGGCTGAGAGCACACTGCTCTGCCTGATGAGCCAGGGCCCATCAGGCCACCTCGCTCACATCACACACGAGGATGGTCTGCTCCCTTGGCCTTCCTAATTTGTAAATCCCACAAAAATTACACCTTACAAAAGGTCTCAACATTGTTTATGAGCCTGGTGTAATAATTCTCCTATAGGTGCCCAAGTGGGAACAGCAGCACTTGGTGACTGCATCATCCAAAGCTGCCCACGTTTCTCCTCCTGCTTCAGCTCATTCCTCTTCAAGTGCTGCCGCACCGCTCCAAGAGACAGGCTGGGCTGATCTCCAGGAACAGGTTCCTCCAGGGTGAACCCTGAGCAGCTCCTCTCGTCGCCAGAAACAAAACCACAAGCACCGTTTCACTGCAAGGGGAACCCAGACAGGCTGGCCACTGGCAGCACCACAACTCACAGCCAGCTCAGTCCTGCAGCCCAAGCACTGGCTAGCCCAGGACGGGATACAAATTCCTTTGAGAAGGAGTAGCCAGAGCACACAGGGCCCCACTGTGCACCTTGTGACATCCTGCGATCAACTCATTCCCACACTGCTCTTACCCTTCAGGGCACTCGGTGCAGGAATCATTAACACTACAAATAAACTGTTCAGAGCAACAACAAACAGGCAAAACCTAACCACCGGCAGCCGTTAATTTCTACAGAGGGACTCACCCTTTTCACTTCCCACATATATGAAAGATTAAAACCTGCTTCTGCAGAAACCTGGTTAAAGGATCATATTTAAGCATGACACCCCTCAAAAAGCATCTTGTATCTGTAATCACCAGTTTCTATAATGATGAATTTCCAGTTTCAATACACGCAAACACTTACTTCCTCATGCATACTGGTCCGTGTGATCCTTAGACAAAGGCAAAACTGTAATTCTCCTCTGTGGTCACTCTAGGCTTGAACTGCTTTGCCCATGGAGTTTTGTTTCTGTAGGGTCAATAACACTGATCTGCAGTTTGAGACCTATTACGAACCTATAGTTATTCCACCCAAATTCAGTCTAGACTGTGTCCCTCCAACCAGCTGTCCAGCCCTGCTGAAGACTTTAAAAGCATCAGCACTGGAACTGAGAGCTCATATGCGATCATGAACAGCGCCTCATAGCCCACTGCAAGACTGCTGGTCAGAAAAGCTTCAAAGTTGCACCTGGTATTTTCTGTAAGTCAATGAAAGCAGGACTAAAATTTAAAGCCTTGAGAAAGGCCTAGTTCTTTCCTGGCAAAAGTGTGCGCACATCCTAAAGAGCTCTTTGAGCAAACAGGTGACTCCCCCTCCCCATCCTCTCTGTAATTATCTGAGACTGGAGTCTATTGGTGCCTGAGATCCCTTGCAAAAAGATGCGGACAGCCTCAGGTTTTGGGAACAAGCACCCACTATGCTGCTAGGACAGTGCATTATTGTTACAGAAGCATATCAACAAAACAGTATTGAGCAGCAAGGATGCCGTTTGGATTAGGTAGAATGACTCAGCTCTCGTGCCAGGAGAAGGGAGGGTTTGTCAAAGCTTTACCTCGTGATCGGGAATCTCGGAGCACAGCGTTCTCCCAAGGATGACCCCAGTCAAGTATGTCCAGCAGCGAGCTGTGTTGGCAAGGTTGTAGCCTCCTGTCTCCAGCAAGAATTGTAATTTTGGAGGGGGAAGAGTGGGGAAAGGGAAGACAGAGGGAGAGATTTTAGTGGAAAGAACAGATCACAGAGGCAACACGCACAGTTTACATGAATTCAGCTTACTTCATCCATTCAAGCTGTGCCCCAAAACCGCATTTTGCACCTGCTGGCTACACGAGGCTAGGTCCAAATGACACTGTATGCAAGGGCAGACCTCCCAAACTGAACCCCAGTTACACCCAGCATGGCACAGGCCAGGCTCCTCCAGCCACCATCTCAGACCCAGCATGAGGCCCCAGCCCCATGCACTGGGCTCTCTCCTGGCAACAAGGAGGGCTGTTCAGAGGTAACAGAGAGAGAAGCGCAAGGGCAGCAGCAGAGATGGGGGATTCCTAGTTTTTAATGCCAGCCTTCGACCCATAAAGCATAATACACATGCCCAGCCATTCACTGGTGAGCTCTTCAGCACTGTCATGTTTGAGAGGACAAATATGAAGCTCATTAGTACAACTTGCAACTGCTTTAGAAGCAAATGAGGTTTCATAGTCAGTATGGTAATGGTCATCTCTATGGTAACAGTTCACGAGCCTACAGGGAGAAACCTTAGCTGAAAGCAATCCTGCAAGAAACTCAGAAGACTTCTTTCCAGCAAAGATGACTACAATAGTAAGAGAGAAAACCACTTTAAAAACAGAGAGAGACACCATATTCTTCAATGTTCCCTTCTCTTTGTGTTGGTCGTTGTTTTTTTGTTGGTTTGTGTTTTTTTACCCCCTCAAGTATTGACTTGTCCCCCAATTTCCACTTCAAATGCTTCCACAAGCTGCAGTGGTACAACACTCCTTTGGTACTTTCACAAGTGACAAATAGCTGTCCCTCATTTTTTGACAGAAGTTTTGGGGTTTCTTTTTGCCTTAAAGCTGCCATCCCCAGCATACCCAGACATGCCACAGCAGGACTGAACACTCATAACCTCTCCAAATCAAAGTGCATTAGGCACATCAAATTTTAGGCTTAACATGCTATACCTGATCTCCCCCATCTCGAAAAGGACAACAGCTAGAGCTGATATGGCTCCAGGCACAGAGCTGGGGGGCTCCCCTTGGCACATAGTGGCTTTTATTGTTCTGAAACACTCTGTTGCATAAAGCCTGTCCTGTGTTCTCCCTGCTAGACAAGTGGCTGGTTATGCAGCATGGCAGAGCTAAGTCAACCTTAGCTTTCGCTGCCTATCAGAGCCCTGTTGTACCATGGAGGGAGCCAGTCCTTTTCCCAAGCCCCTGCTTGAACCCTGTCCTGGTTTCAGCTGGGATGTAGTTAATTGTCTTCCTAGTAGCTGGTACAGTGCTATGTTTTGAGTTCAGTATGTGACGAATGTTGATAACACTGATGTTTTCAGTTATTGCTCAGTAGCGTTTAGACTATAGTCAAGGATTTTTCAGCTTCTCATGCCCAGCCAGGGCACCTGACCCAAACTGGCCAATGGTGTATTCCATACCATGGGACGTCCCATCTAGTTTAGGAACTGGGAAGTGGGGGGGCAGGGATTCGCCGCTCGGGGACTGGCTGGGTGTCGGTCAGTGGGTGGTGAGCAATTGCCCTGCGCATCATTTGTACATTTCAATCCTTTTATTACTACTGTTGTCATTTTATTAGTGTTATCATTATCATTATTAGTTTCTTCTTTTCTGTTCTATTAAATCGTTCGTATCTCAACCCAAGAGTTTTACTTCTTTTCCTGATTTTCTCCCCCATCCCACTGGATGGGGGGGGAGTGAGTGAGCGGCTGCGTGGTGCTTAGTTGCTGGCTGGGGTTAAACCACGACAAACCCACACAAAATCATTCATTGCCAGATGCCCAAGGTAGGTTTGGGAACACAGCGCTCACTTTTAAAGAGAAGCGCTGAAGGGTTGATCAGCAGAGATGAGAATCAGAGGTGCCATTGAGAAGCCAGGGTCAGTTCATAGGGGAGAGCCAAGTTGCCGTTAACTCAAGACCTTAGGATCAGGATTGAGACTTGTACCTGTCGGTATCAAGGATTTCAGTTCTATGTGAAAACAGTACTGCGCCACAGAGTGCCCTCCTGACACTGCCCAGCAGTCACTCTGCTAAACTCCAGCCAGTGCTGAGCCCAAGGGCACACTCGTGGAAGGGTTGCAGGAGGACAAATCCGTTTCCTTGTGAACAGCAGGACATGAGTGCACTCACCTCCTCCCAGGATGAGAGTTGCTAGCTGCCACTGCAGGACATACTTCAGGCACTTGCCCACTCCCTCAGGTGTCATGTTGAAAGAGCACATGGGATCTCCGGCGATGGTGTCTGCCCCCAGCTGCAGCACAACTGCATCTGGGTTGAATGCGGCGTACACCTCCTTCAGCACACTGTGGAGAGAAGGAGCGGTGGGGGTTACCGCAAACACAGCTCAGAGGGATGCTGGTGGCATGGCCCTGGTCCCTCAGATCCACTGATGCCTCTCAAGGTTCCTGTGTTCTCTGTTCCCACCCCCCTCATACCAGTTACGCTCTCTCTGCTCCCAGTTAGCCTTCTGCCTCCGCTCCTCTCCTGCAGTAACTTTAGCTCTCAAAGTGCTCATCACAAGGCTGATAAAGGTAAAAGCATCACAGAACCCAGGGGAGGGGGATCTAGTCCTGATCAGCTTAGTGGTAGCATCAAACCACACGTTTCCACTGGCCGCCCTGAATGGAAGGCTGCAAGCCAAATCCAGGGGCTTTTCTCCCCTGTAAAAGTCACAGTGAAGAGCAGGGTCTGGCAAAACAACAATCCTAAATTCTCAGACACCTCTCACCAGGACAGGACAGGATGAACTGAGGAAGGCTCTGTCTAGGTTCTTGCTCTCCTCTCTCCCATATGGCTCTTGAGGCAGAAATACATTTCCCCTGGCTCTAGCGGATGCTGGGGTGCAGCAGGGCCAGTGTCCTGGAGATAGTTTATTAGAAGTATTCTCTCTTGCAGATGGCAACTGGGCATGTCAGACATTTGGCTTTGCTCCAGATTTTTAGTATTACAAACACCACAAAGGGAATAATCCTGTTCCCAGCACTATGGTCCAAAGCCCCAAATACAAGGCAAATAATGGAGAAAACCATGTTCCTTTCACAACAGTGTTTTTATTTTGCTGAAGTAGAAACAGATGCGAACCCTGGAATAAATGCTTTTGCCTTGGTTAAGAGAACCTAAGAGTCACCAGTTCTTATTTGATATGCAATTAGAAACCACTGCAGTGCCAAACAAGAGAGCTGCTTCCCTGTGACAAAGAGCTTGCATTTACCAATACTCACCCCAAGAAACTTAGCCAGTCACTGCACCCAGACAAGGAAACCCACTGAGCTCGGTGGGGTCTGCCAAGGCAGATGCCTGCAGAGCTGAGGCCATCAGCTCTACAAGCACCACAAATTCACTACTGGATTATAGGCACCACTGTGAAAAAACTCAACTGGTGATGAGAAAAACTCTGGGAAAAAACTCACCACCCCACCCCCCGAGACCAAATATGTGAGGATTTCCATTCAATATGCATATTCACCGCGGGTATGGCAGCTCAGTCTGAACGTGCCGAGAGCCTGGTCCCAGCACCCCAGGTGCCCAGCAGGGCCAGGTAGCCAACAGGTACTCACACCACTGTCCTGGTTTCAGCTGGCATAGAGTTAATTGTCTTCCTAGTAGCTGGTATAGTGCTATGTTTTGAGTTCAGTATGAGAAGAATGTTGATAACACACTGGTGTTTTCAGTTGTTGCTAAGTAATGTTTAGTCTAAAGTCAAGGATTTTTCAGCTTTTCATGCCCAGCCAGCAAGAAGGCTGGAGGGGCACAAGAAGTTGGGAGGGGACACAGCCAGGACAGCTGACCCAAACTGGCCAAAGGGATATCCCATACCATGTGATGTCACACCCAGTATATAAACTGGGGGAAGTGGGGCTGGGTGGAATCGCTGCTACAGAACAAACTGGGCATGGGTCAGCAGGTGGTGAGCAAGTGCATTGTGCATCACTTGTACATTCCAATCCTTTTATTATTACTATTGTCATTTTATTGTTATTATTATAATTATTAGTTTCTTCTTTTCTGTTCTGTTAAACTGTTCTTACCTCAACCCACAAGTTTTACTTTTTCTTTTTCCAATTCTCTCCCCCATCCCACTGGGGGTGGGGGGAGTGAACAGCTGCATGGTGCTTAGTTGCTGGCTGGGGTTAAACCATGACACCACTCATGTTTTGACAGCTACCAGGCCATGTTGTCCACACAGTCCCACCAAGCTAAGCAAACTGAGGCAGATGATGAAAATCACAGTGCCAAGGAAAGAGCAGTCAAATTGGCATAAGCTTCCTTCTTGAAGTGGACCCAAAGTCAGCCTCTTTTCTGCAGATGTCAAGGAGGGGACGGATAAGAGGGGCTTCCACCTCCGCCCAAGGCCCACGTTGTACTACCCTTCCTTGGAGTAAGGAGGACTAAACTGTCTTTCATCCAACACTGTAGGGCTTCTTGACGCTGCTGCTGGTAAGGGCTTTCTTTGCCTGCACTCAGACCTCTGAAAGCACATCTAGCTCCTGTGAGCTGTCTCTGGGTCCCTCTTCTCCCATCTCCCTCAGACATGGTCCTCTATTTTGCTAGACAAGCAGCTGCCACTGGCCAGTTCAAACAGCTCACTTTTTCCCTAGGAAGCTTTACATTCCTCACGGATCCACCAGAAACAGGCAGACGCATGTGAAATAACATCAACAGAGGAAGGTTTACCTCTCGCTAGCAAAGACTGGGGGTGCCCTGCCCTCTCACCAATCTCACTGTGCAAGGACAGCCACTTCCATCAAAATGCAATCACTATCACAAGTCCTTCTACTATTTTCCCACTGAAACTTACTTCAGGCCAAGGATTCCTACTACTTCTCAGCAAGGTCTCCCAGCGAGGATGGAGAAGAGTCTTTTAGCCCATCCCTGCAGGTTTTTGCTGGCTGCATGAGGAGTTTTAAACAAAGTTCACTCTCTCCCAGGGCTTTTAATTTTCAAAGCACATTGCAGACATTACCCAAATTATAAACATCTCCTTAACATGACAGCACTTGTCTGTAGCTGCTGGGATCTCTGTTAAGGCATAAGGGTAG